ATTTCCCCACCCCCAGCCCCGCCCTAACTCTGCCCCCTCCTCCCTCCCACTCCCAGCCACGGGGAAAGGGCTGCCCGAGCGCTACCGCCTTCACGGTTTGCTGGGCAGCCTCCAGAACCTGCGCCCCCGGCTGGGCGCTTCCCCTCCCGGGCTCCAGCTGCGCTGGGGAAGCGCCGGCCGGGGGCGCAGGGTCTGGGGGCTGCCCGGCAAACCGTGAAGCCGGTAGCGCTCGGGCAGCCCTTTCCCCGTGGCTGGGAGTGGGAGGGAGGAGGGGGCGGAGTTGGGGCGGGGCTGGGGGTGGGGAAATGGGCAAGGGCCAGAGCCCATGGAGGGTCCTCTTTTTTTATTTATTAGATATGGTAACCCTATCCATGCTAGTTGATTTGGACAGTCAAATTGTCAAAGTGAGCTGCATCATTAAATTCTGCTTGTACCCAGAGTGCGAACTCGTGTTTGGTCACATAAATGTGTGTTGCATGCAAGCATGCACTTTTCCCTCCCCCCCCCCCGACAGACAGACAAACAAACAAACACTGTAGTTTGACAGGCTACTACCCAGTGGGATTTTGAAACACGATGTCTGTTTTCACTATTTGACCTTGCTGAAGAGTCTTTTGGGCCCAGGCTAAGAGCTAAACTGGAACATCATTCCCTAACGTAGTTATCAAGCTGTGTTTTCCCATCCCACCTGGCAATAAAAACCTATCGTAACTCAGTTGTCCTTAAGTGTGACAAAAAACCCTATGGCTCTTATATCATAGCTAGTCCCTTAAAATGCACTTGTTACTTGTCTATGCTGATGATAAAATTGGCTGCTGCATGTGCAAACAGTGGCTGACTTTTCAAGAAATGCATCTGCAATATTCTTTGCCCTTCTTTGCCCTCCACCAGATTAGGCACTAAAGACAAAGGGTGAAATCCTGGCAAAATTTCCATGGACCTCAATAGGGCCAGGATTTCATCTTGATCTCTGTACAAGCATTTGATTTCCTAACTAGTAGTACATGGTGTTTTCTGGCCTGTCTGAAAGCGCCCTCTGGTGTACACACCTTAAAACAGATTACACTTTAATTATGTTGCTTCATTCTGTTGTCTTCCTTTGTTAATTCTGTATGTTACAGTGAGTAGCATTATTATTTCGAGAGTGCCAACAATGTGTTTCGTGCTGTGTAGAACCTAAAGGAAAACATAAATCCTATGCCTAGGAGCTTATGCTGTAAGCACAGCAACGTACAATAATCTGGCAATATTTGTTTTCTTGGACAGTATTTACCCTATGCAATGTATCAAATGGGATGTTGTACATTCTGCTCCCAGAATTATACTACCTTTTCCTTGCCGAAGTTCCATGTACGTGCCAGAAATCAGACTGGCCATATTCCTTCTAATCAGGAATGCTGGCTGCACAGTTCCTTCTTGGAATTATCAGCAGGTTTTGTAACATTTTACCTCAGACAGATACACAAGCAGATCAGCTGCTACTTTAGAAGATAGTGTCACCGCCTTATTGAGGAAAGTGGATTGTAAAGAGACACAAGAGGTACTCTAAAAATGAATACAAAAAAAGCTCTTTTTTTCCCCTGGGAAAAAAAAATCATATCATTGCTAGCACCAGCGCAACTCCCATGGCAGTAGCAATAATGGGAGTGCTAGTATAGTCCAGTCACAGGCGTTTAGCCGTTGTGGTGCTTAACTCTGCTCAGAGCAGGTCCAAACAATGTGGTGTTTAAAATGCCGGCAGCTGCCAGTGCTTAGTCCACCTAAAGAAGAGCTCCCACTGGTGGAACAGCACTGATGGGAAATTTTAAAGAAATAAAATCTAGTATAGGTAAACCCCTGTGCACACACCCTTATTTACCTAACCACTCACCAGCAGTGGCTTCCCGAGTGAATCAGCAAACTATCCCGCTGCTCCATGCAGGATCCTAGAACTCCCTCTCTCACTTAGTTTCAGAGATGAGTGTGGGAGATGGTATTTTGTGGCATTAAACAGTATGTTGTGCTGAGGTCGTTTCTTAGGTACGTTTTATTCAATAAAAGGGTGTTGAGATTCCACGTGGAATGTGAAACTCTCATTGTTGAAACCACCCTTGTTACAACACAGGGATTAGTCCAAAGATTATAGGACTGTCATTAAAAAGAAAACATGGTTAGTTGATATTCTGGGCCTGGAATGGTTTCTAGCATTCAGCTCAGTTGGATAATAACAGTAATCATAATCATCATTATTATTATTATTATCATCATCATGACCATAGGACCTAGGAGCTCTAGTCAAGAACTAGTGCCCAATTTGTGCTAGGTGCTGGACAAACAGAGAACAAAAAGACAGACACTGCCCCAAATGCATCTCTTTTACCAGCTTTTGGTAGTATTTTTTTCATCCATTTACTAACTTTTTTTTCTCTCTCCTCTTGTTTCTCCCTAGGTCGAAAACTGAGAGGAAAAGCCTTTTATTTTGTTAATGGAAAAGTGTTCTGTGAAGAAGACTTTCTGGTGAGTGCATTGCTTTCCTGTGCCTCTCCCGTTGCAACTTGCATGCTGTAACTCAGAGAAACTGTAATGCAAGCAACTCACACAATCCAACAACTGACATTTCAGCAAAAGAATGGCAACAAGCAGCATTCACTGGGAAGGGATTGGGTTGTGTGTTCAGATATGGTGAAGATGAGGGCATGATAAATGGAGAGAGAGAAACAAGCAAGGGAACAGATTTTCCCCTTCCTATCAACTTTCTCTGACTGGGCATTTCTGAGAGAGATGAGACACCCTCATGTACTGTGGACAGAGTAGGGCGAGCAGTGCTTAAAAATATTTATTAAATACCTATCTGATTTAGGTGCACTGCATAATAACAACATTAAGACTTCTGCGGCTCTTTCACATGGCTGTGGAAGTGGCACACTTAGGGCCTGTTACAAAATCCATTGACGTCAATGGGCTTTGGACCAGACCCTTACTTTGGGTCCTGGGCTGAACTATGTGAACAACATTGCTCTAGAAGCGGCCCCTCTGGTCATGTATGGAGTGGTTGGTGGTCCCTGTGTAGATGCATCTGGGTGGCACAAAAATGCAGCAATAGCCTTAGAATACAGAAATGATCTTGGACTCCAGGCAGAGACAGCCAGTTCTTGGAAACACAAGAAAAGTCAGCATGTAAAGGAAAAAAAAGAGTATGAAAAATAAGTTCATGAAACATTAGTTTACGGGTGTTTAACTAAGACTTTTGGGAGGGTGATTTGTTTTGTTTTGTATTTTTGTTTGTGTTTTAAGAATTAGTTTGTTGGTTATTGGTTGTTAGTTAAATGTTAGTTAGCGAGTGAGTGTGTTCATTCTGCTTCCCCCCTCTTTCCCAAAGTGACCTCTTATTGATCAACCCCAGCGATTGCTATTGGGGAGAAGAGGAGTCGGCTTTCTTTTTCTCTCTCATGTAATTTAAAAACAATAGATGTTAATAATCCAGGCATTGCAAAATGTACAATCTAATTAAATATATTAAAAATACTTGGTGGGCTTGATGCTCATTTATACTAAAACCCTTTCTGCTAGTCACGGTATGTAAGGCAGCCTTAAAGTGGATGTCCATTATATTTGGTGGCAGTGGTGTAAAAGTGGCATTAGTGTTATTGAGAATCAGGTCCATATGTTTAGTTCTTGGCAAAAATAATCTTCTGGGCCAAATTCTATTCTGAATTATACCAGCATTAAGCTGGGACAGTGCCACTGACTTCAGTGGTATTCACGCCACATTTATACTAGCATAACTGAAGGTAGAATTTGGCCCTCCAAGTTTACATTTATTAACCTAGTGAGATTGTGGGTCAGATTTCAAGTTAGGCCAGGTTCTATCTGTGGACACCTAATTTACACATACAAATACGAGATGTATATGCATAATAAACACCCGATATTTGCGCACACATGATGGTTAAATAAGCACATATGGATTGCCAGTAGATCCCTGATTTACGTGTGCAAATCTGGTATTTGCCCACGTATATTAAATTCAATTTAAACTTAAATTAGCACACTAGTGTTATGGGAACTTATAGACCCTTTTAACTTTGAAAATATGACCCTGTAACTTTGAGATATTCTAATGAGGGCCTGCCCAATATTTGTTCAGACTAAAGAAAAGGACGTTTTGCTTCATAAGAAATGTTGAGCAGAGTAAGGCAGATCACTCAACGTGTGTGTGTTACCCAGCCTTGTAAAATGTTAAGCCAATTTTTTTCTCCTTGCAGTATTCAGGTTTCCAGCAGTCAGCTGACAGGTGTTTCATTTGTGGTCATTTGATAATGGACATGGTAAGTGATGCTTGCCTCAGAAAGAAAACAGCATTTTGAATGATGTCTCCAGGGCAAAAGAAATTCATATATAGGATCACCTCATTTGATCTGTTAGTCTAGCTGGTGTGATGACTTATGACAGTGAAAGAACCCTAATCCTCTGGCTTGTCATTGCCAGGAAGCAAAACTAGCATCCGTTCATGTTTGTTGCACAGACGTGTTTTCAGTGTCGGGTCAAAATGAACTTTGCTTTGAAGAGCAGGACATTTAAAAACACACTGACTTTGACTTTTTATGAACTCCTGCGGCTGTTTATTGATGTTCCTGTCCACACCCATTGCATGAGAGCATGGCTTCCTGCAGCCCATTGAGCTGGGGGCAGATAGGGCATTGGTGGGCTGGGGGCTGAACTATAGTATCTGTTACTATGCTGGTCCTCTCTTTGTTACATGTGTCTCAGCCTGTTGCAGAAGAGTGGAAAGAGGTATTTTCTTTTGTTGGCTCTGTATTTCCTGTCCTTTAATTAGGCAGTGTCCCCATATCCTTAAGGTTTCAGACAGAGTTTAAAGGAAAAATCAGTCACTTTTTCCCTTTGACTTTTGTAATTCTGAAACTCTAAATCTAGCCCCTGCCAACTCTTCTTTCCAGCTAAATAATTCTAGTCTTTTTAATTTCTTGCTATATGTAGATCCCAGCTCTCTTCTATGGACCATTTCTATCTCTACTAAATCATTCTTATAATTAAATTACTGAAACAGGACATAGTATTTCCGATGACACTGCACCATTGTCTGATGTAATGTCATAAGTATATTATTTTCATAAACACATAAGAATGTCTATACTGGGTCAGACCAATGGTCCATCTAGTGCAGTACCCTGTTTTCTGACAGTGGCCAGTGCCAGAAGCTTCAGAGGGAGTGAACAGAACAGGGCAATTTATCCAGTGATCCATCCTATGTCATCCAGTCCCCGTGTCTGGCAGTCAGATATTTAGGGACACCCAGAGCATAGGGTTAAAAGCAACAGAGAGTCCTGTGGCACCTTTAAGACTAACAGATAGAGCATAAGGTTGCATCCCTGACCATTTGGCTAATCGCTGTTGATGGACCTATCCTCCATGAACTTATCTAATTCTTTTTTTAACTCAGTTATACTTTTGGTCTTCACAACATCCCCTGGCAATGAGTTCCACAGGGTGACTGTGTGTTGTGTGAAGAAGTACTTCCTTTTGTTTGTTTTAAACCTGCTGCCTATTAATTTCATTGGGTTATGTGAAGGGGTAAATAACACTTTTTTTATTCACTTTCTCCACGTCAGTTGTAATTTTATAGACCTCTATTTTATCCCCTCTTAGTCGTCTTTTTTCTAAGATGAACTGCCTCAGTCTCTTTAATCTCTCTTCATATGGAAGCGGTTCCATACCCCTAATCATTTTTGTTGCCCTTCTCTGTACTTTTTCCAATTCCAAAATAGCCTTTTTAAGATGGGACGACGAGAACTGCACTCAGTATTCCAAGTGTGGACACACCATGGATTTATATAGTGGCATTATATTTTCTATCCCTTTCCTAATAGTGCCTAACATTTTATTAGCTCTTTTGACTGCCGCTGCACATTGAGCACATGTTTCCAGAGAATTATCCCCAATGACTCCAAGATTTCTCTTGAGTAGTAACAGATAATTTAGACCCCATCATTTTGTATGTATAATTGGGATTATGTTTTCCAATGTGCATTACTTTGCATTTATCAACACTGAATTTCATCTGCCATTTTGTTGCCCAGTTACCCAGTTTTGTGAAGTCCCTTTGTAACTCCTCATATCCTGCTTTAGACTTATCTTTCTTGAGTAATGTTGTATCATCTGCAATCTTTGCCACCTTTGGGGTTTACCCCTATTTCTATGAATATGTTGAACAGCACTGGTCCCAGGACAGATTCTTGGGGAGACTCTGCTATTTACCTCTCTCCACTAAAAAACGTAGCCATTTATTCCTACCCTTTGTTTCCTATCTTTTAACCAGTTACTGATCCATGAGAGGACTTTCCCTCTTATCACATGACTGCTTAGTTGGCTTAGCCTTTGGTGAGGGACCTTGTCAAAAGCTTTCTAAAATTCCAAGTACACTATTTCCCTTGTCCACATGTTTGACACCCTCAAAGAATTCTAATAGATTGGTGAGGATTTCCCTTTACAAAAGCCATGTTGACCCTTCCCAACATAGGGTTCATCTCTGTGTTTGACAATTCTGTTCTTTATTATTGTTTCAACCAATTTGCCTGGTACTGAAGTTAGGCTTACTAGCCTATAATTGCCAGGATCGCCTCTGGAGCCTTTTTAAAAAAATTGGCATTACATTAGCTATTCTCCCATCATCTGGTATAAAGGCTGATTTAAGCAATAGGTTACATTGTTCTGCGGTTTCACATTTGAGTTCCTTCAGAACTCTCACCAGGTGATATTCACCCAACTTATTAATGTTTAATTTATTAATTTGTTCAAAATCTCTTCTATTTATGCATCAGTGTGGGGCAGTACTTCAGATTTTGCCCCCCCCCCCCAATAGGATAGCTCTGATGTGGGTATCTTCCCCACATCCTCTGCAGTGAAGACCAATGTGAAGAATTCATTTAGCTTCTCTACAATGGCCTTGTCTTCCTTGAGTTCTCCTTTAGTACCTCGATCGTCCAGTGGCCCCCACTGATTGTTTGGCAGGCTTCCTGCTTCTGTTGTACTTTAAAAAAAAATTTGCTGTTAGTTTTTGTGTTTTTTTGTTTCTAGTTGCTCTTCAAATTATTTTTTGGCCTACCTAATTATACTTTTACACTTGATTTGCCAGAGTTTATGTTCCTTTCTATTTTCCTCAACAGGATATGATTTCCAATTTTTAAAAGTATTTTTGTCTCCTGTAAACACCTCTCTTACTCTGTTTAGTCCTGGTGGCATTTTTTTATCCTCTTACTGGTTTTATTTTTTTTTTTAATTTAGGTTATACGTTTAATTTGAGTCTGTCTTATGATGTTTTTAAAAGTTTCCATGCTGCATGCAGGCATTTCACTCTTGTAATTATTTCTTTTAATTTCTGTTTAACTAGCTTCTTCATTTTTCTGTAGTTCCCCTTTTTGAAGTGAAATGCTACTGTGGTGGGTTTCTTTGGTATTTCCCCCCCACACACACACAAAGATATTAAATTTAATTATATTATGGTCGCTATTACTCAACTGTTCAGTTATATTCACCTCTTGGATCAGATCCTGTGTACCACTTAAGACGAAATCAGGAATTGCTTCTCCCCTTCCAGGACTAGCTGCTCCAAGAAACAGTCATTAATGGTGATTAGAAATTTTATTTCTGCAGCCCATCCTGAGGTGATGTGTACCCTGTGAATATGAGAATAGTTGAAGTACCCCATAATTATTGGGTTTTCTGTTTTTGTAGCCTCTCTAATGTCCCTTAGCATTTCACAGTCACCGTCACTATTCTGGCCAGGTGGTTGGTAGTATGCTCCTACTGCTATACTCTCATCTTTTAATGCCTGTCCATGAGCTCTCTTCTGTCTCTGGTTTATTGCAGATCCTGCAGGCTCTAGGGAAATCATACCATCCAGGCTGCTTCCGTTGTGTGATCTGTAATGAATGTCTGGATGGAGTGCCATTCACTGTAGACACGGAGAACAAAATCTACTGTGTCAGAGATTACCACAAGTAAGAACAAAGTAAACAGCTAAGTAAACCTAGTCGAAAACCCACTAATTCAACCTTCAAAATAGTGTGGGTGTATGGACTAGTGTAATGAGCATGGGACTGGGTGCTAGGAACTCCTGACCTCTTCCCTTCCTTCTGCCACTGACTTACTCTGTGGCCTTGGGTAAGTCACTCAACACCATCTGCAAAATTGATGTAATATTCACCTATCTGTCAGGGGAAATGTATGGTTCAGTTAGCTAATGTTTGTAAAGTGCTTTAAAGGTATAAGAACTAAATCAGCCCTGAAGTACCGGTAAATTCCTTTGAAGCCAATGGGAGCTGCACTTTGTTACACCAGGGGCTGACTCTGGCTTGTAAGAACCAAATATGATTAGGATGTTACTGCTGAACATATGTGTGTGTGGTGGTGGTTGGGTTTTTTTGGAGGGTGAGGGTTAGTATCCACCTTTTTATATGGTTAGTTAATTAAACAAATGATATATCATAAAAAAATCTACTTGCAAATCACTAGTAATGTACCATCTAGGGAGATTAAAGAGCCACTGTCATAGGTAATATTAGACCTACCAGTTGACATACACTTTGAGCCATTCGCTTACTCCATTCTGCTGCCTGATTCCTCTTATGATCAAGGAGGATATTGAAATATACAATAATCCTGCTCTAAGGTGCTCCACAGAATTGCCTTATGTTGCACTTGTGCTAAAGTTTTAATTTCTCGTAGATATAACTATTACTATAAAGGAATGCATACTCCCTTGCACTTGAAACGATTTGAACCCACCCAAAACACTATTCAAGCTTGAACATGCCCCACTGCAATGAAATCGGGCCCCAGGTCTTTTAATATGTCTGTGCATGGATTATTCCTGTGTCTGATTTCCCCTGTCCCCACTTCCACCTCTCTGAGTAGCCATTTTAAACGATTGCTACTTTTTTGTTTTCAGACAGATAATGCAATGCAATGCTATCCTATTCCTACTTCCTAGTCCTTATTTAAGTGGGGTTCACTGTTCTTTCAAGGACTTCTTCAACCTGAAATCTACCTCTGAATGGCTGAATAATCTGCAGTAAATAGTACTTGTAGATGAAAAGTAAATCCTAGAGCCAGACCATGAAATTTTTAAACATCCGGATCGCCTTTAAACAGAAAGCAATTTCCTACCTTAACAATAGAAGAGCTGGCACTCTACTATTACAGTGTACATGAGCCGTTAAAAATGGCTTGTATGACCTAGTGATAGAAACTGCTCTGTTCTTCTTCGAGTGCTTGTTCACGTCAATTCCAGTCAGGTGAGCGTGCGCCGCATGCACGGATGTCGGAAACTTTTTCCCTTAGCAGCTCCCGTCGGGTCGGCTGTGGAGCCCCCTGGAGTGGCACCTTCCTGGCGCTGGATATATGATCCTGCCGACCCGACCCCCCTTCAGATCCTTCTTACCATCCGTGACGGCTGTTGGAACAGTGCTCACTTGCTCAGCAGGTGCTCCCTTGGTGTTCTCCTGTTAGTCATTTGAGTTTCAAGTTAATGTTATAGTTAATGTAGTACATAGTTGTATAGATAGTTTAGATAGTAGGTTGGGAGCGGGGTCTCTCCCCAATCCCTAACACTCTCCCTTGGGCTCTGGGGCATGCCCAAGGCTTTAAGCCCTGCAGTGCTTGCAATAAGCCTATGCCCATCAGTGACCCCCACAACTCTTGCTTAAAGTGTCTGGGGGAGGTGCACCAAACGGAGAGGTGCAAAATCTGCAGGGCTTTTCGGCCAAGAACCAAGAAGGAGCATGATTTCCGCCTAAAACCACTTTTAATGGAATCCACTCTCCACCCACAGCCGGCTGCGGACCACCAAGATTGGCACCGAGCATGTCCATACAGAGTGCTCCGGCATCCGTACATGACACGGCACCGAGGAAGGACTCTAGCGCAAGAGATCCTTGGCACCGGTGCTCCCCGGCACCGCAGCCAGGAATAGCAGCCCAGCACTGCTCAACTTCTGCAATGCCGCACAAGCAACTCAAGAAGGGCGAAATGGGGCTCTCATCGGCCCTGAAAACCGTGGGTCTGTCAGGGGATGCACGGGCGCACCCCAGAAATGACCCAGTGCAATGTGGGCATGAGTCGGTGCCATTAACTTCGGTGCCCCAGAGGGACCATTGAGTCCGGCACGTAGCGACTCTCTGGCAGGGCAGTGTGAGGTTGAGGTGATGAAGCTGTGGCAGGGGCGTGAGCTTTGGGCCCTCCTCCAATTGACCATAGGGCACATCAGGACCTCCTTAGGCGAATTGCCCGCAACGTGGGGTTGCAAGCAGAAGAGGTGGTCAAGGCCAAGGACCCCATGGTGGATATTCTCACTCCTGAAGGTCCATCACGGGTAGCTCTGCCTTTGATCAAGACTGTTCAAAACAGCATAAAGACCCTTTGGCAGACCCTGGTCTCGATTCCGCCGACCGCCAGGGACTGGGACTCCTCCTTGATGTGAACAAGTCAACCTTGTCACCGATCCAAAGAATAGAATTCATCAGGGTGGTGCTGGACTCGGTACAGGAAAGGGCGTTCCTGCCAGAGACCCGATTCCAAGTCATAACAGACATTATTCAAAACCTTAGGCGGTACCTGACCACTACAGCAAGGGGATGCCCGACTCCTCGGCCACATGGCAGCCTGCACTTACGTGGTCCGGTATGCCAGGCTGAGGCTCAGGCCATTCCAAGCTTGGCTCGCTTTGGCTTATCGCCTGGGACGCATCAGCCTAGACTCAGTCGTGACGGTGCTACAGCAAGTAATCAAGTCCCTCCATTGGTTGCTCGACCCTCGGATGGTGTGCGCACGAGTTCCCCTCAACAGCCCACAGCCCTCCTTGTCCCTGGTAACGGACGTGTCAGTGCTGGGTTGTGGGGCACATCTGGGAGATCTCCAAACACAGAGCCTATGGTCAGAGAACGAGCCCTTACTCCAGATCAGTATCAGGGAGCTCAGAGCGGTGCGACTGGCATGCCAAACTTTCCAGTCCCTACTGCAAGGCCAATGCGTGGCAGTGATGATGGACAACACCACAGCCATGTTTTACATCAACAAGCAGGGTGGAGCCCAGTCCTCTCCCCTATGTTGGGAAGCCCTCCAGCTATGGGAGTTCTGCATAGTCCAGTCCATTCACCTGGAGGCGTCCTATCTCCCAGGCATGTAGAACGAACTAGCGGACCACCTCAGCAGGTCCTTCTGCAATCACGAGTGGCCCATCTGTCCAGCCAAATCGATTTGTTTGCCACCCGGTGCAACAGAAAGTGCCCAACGTTCTTCTCCTTCCAGAAACACAACCCGGGTTTGATCTCGGACACGTTCCTGCTACCCTGGGGAGACCGCCTCATGTATGCCTTCCCACCGGTCCCACTCATGCACAAGGTGCTGCTGAAGATCTGCAGAGACAAGGCAAAGGTAGTCCTGCTGGCCCCAGCGTGGCTCCATCAACATTGGTACACCATGCTTCTGGAGCTGTCAGTGGACACCGCGATCGTACTACCACTCTACCCCGATCTGATCACACAGGACCACGGACACCTTTGCCACCCGGACCTCCAGTCCTTCCATCTTACAGCCTGGAAGCTTCATGGTTAAACCGGATGGCACTCATGCGCTCGGGACCAGTGAGGGAGGTCCTACTAGGCATCAGGAAACCATCCACCAGGGCCACTTATCTAGCTAAGTGGAAGAGGTTCACTTGCTGGTATGCCCAGCATCACACACCTCCACTCCAGGTGCCTGTACCACTCATCTTGGAGTTTCTCCTACACCTGAAACAACAAAGCCTGGCAGCATTAAGGTACACCTCGCTGCTATCTCAGCCTTCCATCTGGGAGCGTCTGGACGTTCCGTATTTGCCAACCCCATGATAGGGCGTTTCCTCAAGGGCCTGGACAGGTTATATCCGCACATGTTATGAGCTGGCCAAGGTCCCACCCCCTGCTATTATGGCACGTTCCACAAGGGAACAAGTCTCGTCCGCTGCTTTCCTGGCCCAGGTCCTGATACAGGAGATCTGCAGAGCAGCGAGTTGGTCATCGGTGCATACGCTTACCACTCGCTATGCTATCATCCAGCATGCCAAAGATGATGCGGCATTCAGCAGAGCGGCGCTCCAATCAGCAATTCTTTGACTCCGATCCCACCTCCGGGGTAGAACTTGGGAGGCACCTGACTGGAATTGACGTGAACAAGCACTCGAAGAAGAAAAAACGGCTACTCACCTTCTCGTAACTGTTGTTCTTCGAGATATGTCCACATCCATTCCAATACCCACCCTCTGTCAGAGTAGCCGGCAAGAAGAAACTGAAGGGGGGGTCGTGTCGGTAAGGTCATATCCCCTGCCATGAAGGCACCACTCCAGGGGGCTCCACAGCCAACCCAACGGGAGCTGCTGAGGGAAAAACTTTCCGACGTCCATGCACGCAGCACGCGCACACCTGATTGGAATGGACGTAAACAACATCTCTCAAAGAACAACAGTTACGAGAAGGTGAGTAACCGTTTTATCTGAGGGTCTGCAGCTACCAGCTTGGTATGGCTCCTTCTGAGAATAACTAGCCATGCGCACCACTCCTAAAAGTTTTTTCAATTTTGAAAAACATGTCTAAACACAGGTGCCCTTCCCTTCTAGAGAAAACAGAGTTCTGAGAGTTGGCCTCAGAAATAGGTTCTCAAAAGTGTTTATTCCAAAATGGCAGCTCCTCAGATCAGAGCAGATTCTATCAGTCACACCAGGATATAACTGGCATAAATGGCATTTTTGAATGGATTATGTACAATATTTGTTGATAAAGTCCATGGTCCGGATGCTCCATGGCCTGGATGTATAAAAAATTTGTTGATTGGCCCTGGGATTTACTACTTCCTCCATAAGTAATGTTTACTGCAGATTGTGCAGCCATTCGAGCCAATATGAGGGCTATATGGTGGTATCCAGTTTGTTAGTTCATTTTGTAAACAAACACTTGGAATGAAAAGCTCTTCACACCACTATCCTTGCAGATAAAGTGAAAAACCACATACTGCAGATTACCTCTTAGTCAGAACATACAAGCCTCTTTCATACAGACGGTATATGTGTAACTGTAATTTCTCATTGCTCTTGTAGAGTTTTAGCTCCAAAATGTGCAGCATGTGGACATCCCATTCTGCCAACTGAGGTAAGAACCTTTTTTGCTATTGCTTACAATTCTTACTCCACTGCTTTCCTGGGGACCCCTAGGATCATGCCATTTTTTCCTTCATGCTTGACTCTCTTTCAGACTGAATGTTTTCCTGGCTCATAAGAGCTGTACATTGTTTCCTTGAGTGTTGCCTTCACAGCAATCTCAGCCTCTGTTGGCCCAAGGTTAAAGTGCAGTGTCCGAGACTCAGTAGTAGTTCCTTTGCTTGATAGTTCAGTTTGCTACCACTGGGTTAATCTGCTCTTTTCACCTTCTGTGAGATTTCATTGCTGTTACTGGTAGGTCAGACTAACTTGTCCCTTAGTCAATACCAAGTTGTTGATTTTGAAGAGTGTTCCACGTATGAGGGAGTGCCCTCAACTAGAATTAAGTTCTTATTCACCATAATCTTGTTAATTTGGTGTCTTTTGGTGGAACCAGTTAACAATGCTGACACTTTATCAGAAATATGAAATATTGAAGGATTTCACATACTCCTTGCTGTATCCATTTGGGATTGACTTGGCCAGCAGAAATCTTTCTTTTAGTCTCTGATATTCAGTTTTCCAGAGATGCCTACAGTAGATTGATGACGAAGCTTTGCTGAAAGCAGATCTGCAGATGGCAGGCTTTATTTGAGATTTTCTACCAGTGGCCCACATGCATTTGTTCAATATCCACATTGCTGCAGGAAGAAATTCACAAAACCCATGTGTCACATCCTCCTTTATCTGCCATCTGTTTAATATATTTATTGCTTTAATATTTACAGGGGTCCGATGAGACCATTCGGGTTGTGTCCATGGACAAGGATTACCACGTGGAATGTTATCACTGTGAGGTGGGTCAACAGCTTTCTAAGGGCAAAGTGAAAAAATACTATTTTAAAAAGAAATAAAATACGCAGGTATCTTGGGAACTCAGCAGATCAGCAACAGCAACCTCATGTTGTTAAGTTCCTACAGCAGTTATTAACTGCTGAAAAATGTCCAACATAATATGTCTAGGGACTTAAATGGAGTAAAACAGTGGTGAATCTAGCCTGGAAATTTTAAGAAAAATGCTAGTGTATTTAAGATGTATAGGGACATAACTCGCCATAAGATCTAAGTAATAAAGAAAAACTACTAAACCAGACTAACCTTACTGTGCTGGAGGTTGAATCTTACAGATGCTTATGATGGATACTTTACTGCCCATGACAAATCTAGGTACTCTAGGGGCTTATTTTGAAAGAGCTGTCAACAGTTTAAGTGCTCATGTCCTTATTAGGGAATTTGATCTCCTTTAAATACTGGTGTCAGGTACTAGTTGGTTCTTGCAGCAGAAAGCAAATATACATTTTAATAGCCACTCTGGTCTTTTTGTAGGATTGTGGGATGGAACTCAATGATGAAGATGGACATCGCTGTTATCCGCTAGATGAACATTTGCTTTGTCACTCCTGTCACCTGAAGCATATAGAGAAAGGCACAACTCCAGCAGCTATGTACCAGCATCACTTCTAGTCAGTACTGCTAATTCCCAGAATTAGCCTGTCAGAGGACTTGTTATAATACACATTTTTCCCCAGTTGATTTCCAGTATGCATTTTCCCCAATCAGTAATTTACAGTAAGAGGATACAGAGACATTAGCTAGATTTTTTTCAAGGTTTGTATGTATGTGAGCTCCACTCATATCACAAATACGTTTATTTGAACATGTAATGTTTTCCAGGCCGGTCGATTTATTTTCCCATGCCTTTTTACAATCTCAAGAGCTCTTTGCTTTCACTTGGGAAGATTTTTCAGTAGAAGGATAACCATCTATCACATCAGTGAGTTCATATGATGTCATGCACAATTAATAAGCCACAGACCTCTCTACCTGCCTGCTGAGAACATTTCTTCTGTCTGTGAAGTGGTTTCTGACAAGCACGTTTCATCAAATCCCCCAAGGATATCAGCTTATTAATACTGATTCTTAGAATCTTTATAATTCTTTAGAAAAAGGGCTCTGTGCACAAAAGCACATTCAGACCTTTCAGTTTGTCCCCAGAACTCCGATGCCAGCCCAGCTGTGAAATGGTTGTGACGCAGAATAGCAATCTGAGCACAAACAAACCAGGCATCTCACTTGGCTGCTGAATGTCCACATCCCAACAATTATTTTTTTTAAAACTGGAGCAAGATCTACAAAGCCATCTTGGCAAATGTGGTCACCTGTGCTGCTGCTTGTGCATAAGCATGGTACACTAGGATCACTTTGTTGTATAAAGTCTGAGCAGCAAATTACATTTGAAAAGATCTGGATGCTGAAAATATGTACGGGAGGGCAATCTATCTCCCATTGTTTCTTGCAAAGGTCACTTTAGAAGAGAGCTCTGTGCACACAGACACTTCCTAAGCCTTTCATTTTATCCATGGAGCGCAGACATCAACACTGCTGTGAAAAAGGTGCAAGTCAAGAGGGCTCAATGCTCACTTCTACAGTGTTTATCCAGCTCAGACCTGTTTCATAACGGTGCCTATTTAGAGTTCTGGGAACAGATTCAAGAGCATGATGAAGGCTTTATGTTTGCACAGTTTTAGATCCTAACTCTGCATCCCTCACTTGTGAGTAAGCCCGTTGACACACATGGATTTGCTCACATGAATAAGGATTACTTACGTGAGCAGGGCTTCCAGGATTAGATCCTTATTTTTTTTGTTCCATTTAGAAAGCAAAAATGGCAAATGTTTTTCCTTTTTAAACACCCATGCCTTTTAATCAAAGAAAATGCCTCCCAATGGGTGCACAGCTATGTGTGTGGTAAATATGCGATGGGTATTATTTACAGTACACATACTGTGCGTACTAAAGCTTTGCAGAAACTGGTATACAGGTACAATTTTTTTAATTAAAAAACCAGCTGTTTCCACTGCTGTTTAGTGTCTGTGAACTGACCTCCCCAACGTATCCTCAGTGTATTGAAGACTAATTAAATACTAACTAAATCCTTTTGCATCAGAGCTAAGCTATTTATTCAACCCTGTTTGATCGTATGGTGTACAGTTTCCTCCAAGATCCACCATGAAACAGTGCTGACTAAATTAGCGAAACAGTGGTAACTACATTCCAGGAACGAGCCAGAGCAAAGTAGCAATACTCTTCAACCAAACATCTCTCCCAATAACAACTTTCTGGCGCTAGCTAACTGCTTGAAGTTTAAAAAAAAGGGGGGGGGGCAGATTCTGCCACTCTTACTCCCATTTAATAGTATCTTACTCCATGAGTAATCCCACTGAAACGAATGGAGAAATAAGGTATTACTCAGCTAACGGTGGCAGAATCTGACTCACAGTTGATGATATTCTGATATATACATTTCTCCTCCCTCCCCCCCCATCCTTAGCTTAGAACTGTGAGAGCCCAATCCTGAAAGGTGATAAAGAGCTTCCTACAAATTGCTGAGCATGCTCAACTTCACTTTGCAGAATTGGCGCAGCTGATTTTCCCCCCCCCCCCCTTCACCGAATGTCATGAGAGGGGCATTTTGTCCCACAAAGCACTAGCTCTCAGCATCCCAGTCAGTCACCTTCTGTCACTATTTCCAATGACAACAGTAACTTCCAGGTTAAGCAGTCACTTTGTCGTGAGGCCAGATAGGGCTCTTTCAGAGCTATTGATCATGCTGTTCCCTGTTTCTTGTGGTAGAGGATGCAAGAAAGCAGGCAGATTGCTCCATTTGCCTGGAGACTATGAGACAAGCAACTTTCACATCTCCCCACTCTCCTTTCATCCACCTCTCTTTCTTTCTTTCTTCCTCTCTCTCCTATGCACACACTCTCTAAGATTGTCTAGATTAGTGGAGGAAACTTGCTGAGTGTTTAATACCTTAAAATATTAATTTGCATTAACAACTTACTACATATCCTCATTTGCCACAATGTGAGTAGAAATAAACAGAACCCAGCAATAGCAGATTTTTATGCTGAGATTGTTCAGCCAGGTACAGGTTTAATCAGTTGCACAAGCAAGCGTAGTCAGTGGGGAGGGTGTTGGTTTAACATCTGCAGGGGAGAACTACGATACGATTAGTAGTGATGGGCAGGTTTCCAATCCGATGCCTCAGTTTGCCCTGTTCTAGCCAGAAACCAGGCAAGGCTCTGGACTCTGATTTTGGCCCAGGGCTTGGTCAGATCAGCAAACACTCCTACAGAGCACAGCAAACTGATATTTATGACCCATCCATTAGGTGAATGCCTCTGCATGTACTTCATTGTGACTGCTGCCCTTTGGGACGATGCCACTGGAATAAGGTTGG